CTGAAATTTCAGTTTGCAAACATTATCCCAACATGAAAACATCAGAAAGTCCTTGTGTACTTGTGTACAGAAAAGTACAAATTGTGGGAGTACCAGCAGCTCTCTTCAAATCTAATCTAGATCATTTTCTCTAGCACTGTATACTGTCCTGTCTCTCATCTGTTACATACTGGCCTCTTTTCTTTTGGCATTCGTGATCGTCTGAAATGTTTGTTTAGCAGCAAATAGTACAAAATTGCACTTAGGCATGGAGTGTCAAAGCAAGATTTCCCCCTCAGACGAAAGGCCTGAAATCAAACTTGCAAGCAAGTCTACAGAAGTTACTAGTGTATAAATTTACTTGCAGCCCACCTGCCAGCGCACACCTGTTAGGTATTCAGGACTCATAGGAAAAGAATTCCCCCTCTTGCTGTTTATAAAAGCTGTCCTGCCTGGGCACCTGGAGGAGGAGTTCCAGATGGGTGACCCATTACAGAATGGGAACGCATGGTGGTTACTTCGTACTTGCTCAGGGGTGTTGTTTAAAGACTGCTTCACACTCTCTCCACAGACGGTGCCCTGCTGTTCAAAGCAACTGCTGAGCCACAGGGCAAACAAATGAACACTATCAAGCAGGAAAATGGCTTAAAACAAGATTTTAGAGTGTGGTGCAAGATCTTTGTTTTGTTTATTTAAAGAAACCATTATGGTTTTGAAATTATATAATGTAATCCCAGAAACTAGTCTGTTGCCTTAACCCAGTGACTGTCGCGAAGGGGAAATCACAAGGTAACAAAGAAGGCTTCAAGTTTTTAGAATAGGGTTTCAACTAGAGGAAACAATCTGAGGAGGATTATCAAGTACTGAATATGGCTGGACAACACAGGCACCAATCAGAACGAGGCCTGGCAACTGTCAGCAGTTGATTGGTTGGAACCTTCCTGGGCAGGTATATAAAGAGAAAGAAGCAGGGCAGGTGCTCACTCCAGGCAGGGAGCTGGAAGGGAGAAGTACGAGTCAACAGCTCCAGAGAGCTGGATTGATGAGAACCTAAAGGCAAGGAGAAGGAACTCAGACAGCCCAGGAAGGAGCCAGAAGAACTCTAACGGAACCTGAGGTGGGTAGAATGCCTCAGAAGACTCCAAGGTGGTTTGATTCAACTGACTGCAAGTATCAAAAGGGTGAAAGGGCTTCTAAGTGAAGCTGCAAGGCCAACTGGGATTTCTCCCTCCATATGGCAGTAAGTGGATGAAGTCCTGGCTGGGTGGAGGGATTTTGCCATCTGTTTCAAAAGGCACGGTGACTCCTGGGGCCTCGTCGTAGTTATTTCCCCCTGTTGTCTTACAACTCCTGGAGGTCTTACCAGGTTGTCACGAGGTCCACAGGCCATTTCTTCAGCTAGTGTTGTATCTATTTTGCTTCCACATCAGCCCTGTGAAGCAGCATTTTTGCCCAGTTTAGATCACGAAGGGTGTACAAGCCAGCTGGTGCAGCAACTGATATAGAGCATCTCAGCCTTAGATAGACAGACAGAATTAGGACAGTTGCTTCCAAGCAGAGTGGAAAGACTTCTCAAAGGGAATAGGGTTGCCATGCAGGTGATGGGAGCTCTAAGTCCTATCCTCCTAGGTCCAGTAACCTGGCCTAATGAAGACAAGAAACACTTAGCTGACGCACAGCATTATAGTACTACCTTATCATGGCCATTCAAAGGAAGAGGCAGTGAACACTTAAGAAGACACTCCAACAGGCGACGGTGGTGGGAAAGCACAAGAGAAACAACATGGTACCAGAGGGACTCACGTGTACCTGATACTGGTGGCCACTAGTTTCAGCTACTAATTTCCCAACAAGGCCTTCTCCGCCCTCTTGAACTTCTTCAGTTCCACAGACAATTCCCAGTATTGGAGGTAAAGCCACATCAGCCTTCCATTCCGACGTTTATTGGTGTTGAGCAAGTTGCTGCAATAGGTGTCATGCCTAAAAATATCCTTCAAGCCCATCTCCATCCCCAAGTCCAAAGCAATCGGATCAGTTGCTGCTCTAATTAGCAGGTTTTTCTCAATTTCCAGTCGCCGGTTTCTGGGGAGCATGAGGCTGCAGTAGATCTCCTGCCTTTCGGTGAGAGTTTCTTCAAACTCTTTGAGCAAGGCGCTCGCTCTCTTTTGCCACTGCGCTTCTTTCTCCAGACAGCTCTGGTACAAAGCGCCAGCGGCTCCAGAATGCTGCAGGATCTTTCTTTCTTGTTCCAACTGGGCGTGCTCTTTTTCCAGGGTTCTCCTTTCCTCCACCAGTTTACGGCTCTGGGAGACGAGGGCTTCACGATAACTTGATGTTCTGTTCCGTTCTTTTTCCAGTTCTAGCTCTAAGTGGGCAAGCGAACGGCGATTTTCAGTGATTATGTCACGATATTTGGATTCCAGCTCTCTCTGTACTGTGGACAGTTTTTGATAGAATTTTTTTTTCTCTTTTTCTATCTCTTTCTGCGACTCTCTGGACCAGATCCATCCTGCAATGCACGAGACATAATCCACGTGTAAAATTAAATTAAAGACAAACTCCTCACGGATTATGCTGATACATCAGACAGAAGGCTAGTTTCAGAGGATGGCTGTGTTGGTCTACAGTAGAACAGCGAGCTTTGCATCCAGTAGCACCATAGAGACTGACAGATTTCTGGGGTGTGAGCTTCCAAGAGTCAACGTGCCCTTCATCAGATCTAGCTATAATACACCTGTACTTTCAAAACCTCCTCTCCCAAGAAATACAGTCACCTGTTTGAGATAGTTGTTTGAATGAGCCCAGATTCATTGGAATACATGAAGGACCACTGCAACAGAATGAGTACAGAATTTTACCCTAAAGGCTCAGCAGTCAATCAAAGCAGTGTTCTGAATCAGTCAAAAAGTCTAAGGGCTGGATCTATTAATAGACCTCCCTTTTTATAACAGAATCTCAGTACCACATCAATAATCTTATTTGCCGAAGATTTTACGGAGGCAATGTGGGCGTTCCAGTTCAAGGTTTCACTGAATATTATACCCAAATATTTGTAATTTTTTACTCTGTTCTATTGGAGTACCTTGTATACTCCAAGAATGCGTTTTAGGCTTTTTTCGAAAGACCACTACTTTAGCTGTTTAGTTGATGGTAAGCTTTTCTTCTGTACAGCAGTCCCCCAAGTTATCCAAAAGCCTCTTTAATCCAATCCTGGTTAGAGAAACTAGGACCATATCATCTGCATACAGTAATATTGATAATTTTTGTTGACCTAATGGTGCGACAAATTCAGGGCCAGTTAGTTGTGCTACAATATCATTTATATATAAGTTAAAAAGTATAGGAGCTAACACACAGCCCTGCTTGACTCCTTTACAAGTCGGTATTTTGCTGGTCATCGTGCCTGAGGTACTTACTCTAATTTTTGCATATGTTTCTGTATGTAACTCACGAATAAGGAACAACAGTCTTTTATCAATATTTGTTTTCATCAGCTTGTCCCAGAGTTGGTTTCTATCAATTGAATCAAAGGCTGTGGCCAAATCAATGCACACTGCGTATAAGGTTTTAGTTGGGCCTTTTATAGCCGAGTGAGTCAGCAGATAAAGAGTATGGCAATGGTCAATTGGCCCTTTCTAAATCCTGCCTGTTGGGGATATATGATGTTATTTTCAGCAATCCAGTCATCCAGTTTTTGCAGAAGGTATTTCCCATACAGTTTGAATGCATTCTGAATTAGTCAGTAAGGTATGAACTGTGAAGACTTATATTCTGATGCGGGAGGCTGTTAGACAAAATTAGATAATGAAGGCTGAGAGTGACATGTTAGTCAAACAGAAGTGTGAATTAGAGATTTATGGACGATATCAGAGCTTGGGTTAAACTTCCCTGCCTGAGGCTACTGAGGTATTACAGGAGGCCAGCAGGGTCTGGCTGGCCCTGGAGTGCAATTCACCATGTAACAGTGCCGTGTTGATATGTTATAAACCTGTCTGAGAGCAAATTTTCCTGAGCCGTGTTCTTTTGAAATCCTAACATCCCACAACTCCAGGAAAAGTGTTAATTGCTACCTCAGTTGCGTCTGTTTTACTGAATAAACATTGTTCTTGTCTGTTTTAAAAAGAAACCATCTTGTGACTGTCAGTTTTACCTCAGTTATCAATCCAGGCTTGGGTGGGTTATGCTCAGGCCCAGGTCCCATCTCCTCAAACCCAGTTTTCTCTCTTTTAATGTCCCACTGGAAACCCTCGGGTAGTGGGGGTGGCAGGAAACTGTGGCGTGATGGAGAGAAAATCCTGTGCAGTGGTGCCTAGATCCCAGGAAATCCATCACAACAGCCTTTCCCTGTACAGATCCACCTGCTGACTTGACTCAGTTATTTCCTCCTAAGGGCAGTTTCTTCTTTCTGGGCAGTTCACAGCCTCTGTTACAGTTTTGGCCTCCTGTGTGGTAGTACCTACCCTGTGGAATAATCTTCCAGAGGAGATGTGATAAATGCCTTCTCTGGTTAAGGTCTAGAAATTGTGTAAGGCTGAACACTTTGGGCTTTGGAGTGCTTGTTGTTTGGAGGCTATGGATTTGATTTTCCCATGATCCCGTTCAGGCAACTTTGCTCAGGGATTTTTGATCTGTTTAAATGTTACACCGTTTTATGTTTGATGATATCTTATGGTTCTTTTTGCAAGCCACCTCAAGCGCAGTTAAAGGTGGGATAGAACTTAAGGAACAAACATTTCTATAGACTTGCTGGATTAAACAAATTGAGGTCTACTGGTGCTAATCCCTGCCAAATTAGCACAAGATTCCATAAATTGGAAGGTAATATGAGAAATTCTAATTTTATTCCAAATGTGACTTACGGAAGGCAGCCAGTCCCAGCATTGGAACCAACAAAGCATAATTCCATTTGCTGCCGTGGCCTCCGTCGTCCCTGGCGTTAGGGTGGATGTTCCAATTTGGTGGGTCATTTAAATTATTCATCGACAAACCTTCAAATCAGGAGAAAAGAACTCTCAGGTATTCAATAAGTTGGTTGTAAAATACACAATCACATGCATAGTTTGATACTTATAAACTATGACGCTAGTGCCATGAAAACCCAGAAAGAGGGTCACCAAGAAGAAGAAGAACAAGAAGAAGGGATTGGATTCATACCCCACCCTTCACTACCCAAAGGAGTCTCAGAGTGGCTTACAAACTACTTTCCCTTCCCCTCCACACAACAGACACCCTGTGAGGTCAGTGGGGCTGAGAGAGCTCCGACAGAAACTGCTTTTTCAAGAAGAGCTCTGACAGGACTATGGCTTGCCCAAGGTCATCCAGCCAGGTGCAAATGGAGGAGTGGGGAATCAAACCCAGTTCTCCCAGATTAGAGTCCGCGCACTTAACCACTGCACCAAACTGGAAATGTGTATGGAAAGGTGGCTGTAAAGGTAGGAAATGTAACTGAGTGTTCCCTTGGCCTGCCTTCCTTTCCCTTGGCCCCTGCAGTCTCCATCTCTCCTTTCTTCAAGTGTCTTGTTAGACCAGGCAGCCACCTTTCCACACTTGTACGCAGTTGCGATGCTTTTGAATATTCAGAGCAATATGTTAAATAAACATGAAAGTGAAAGAAATAAAAGGTAATTGGGGGGGGGCCTTACCTGCAATTCTTCTTTAAGAGTAGAGCAAAATTTGGTCACTCCGAAAGCAAAAGGAGAAGCCTCTTGATCAAAGCCATCCTAGAATTAAATTATTTTAATATTTAAATATTAAAGTATATTAAATTAATCCACCATTGCATTATTTCTTTGGAAGCAAAACTGAAAATTTTTTAAATAATATTTTTATTTACTAGTCATATAATGCAATTGATGATTTAGAAACTTCTGCTACTAGAGCTCAGAATACAGCAAGCAAGTGGAAAAAGAACATGCAACCCACATCCATATTCCAAGGGAAATGACTGTAATGCTGAAGTTTGCATTCATTCCAGTGAAAGCCCACAAGCTTTTCACATCCTGTCGAACACGAGAGATCTAAGTTTCAAACAAACGATTTGAAACACTTAAAACTTTTAACTTATGTGGAGACTTCTGGTTCTTGGAAGGATAGCGCTTGCCTGGCTGTAACACAGTATGATGAAAATAACTATATTACAGTCAAATAAAATTAGAATCAGAAATGCTCAGATGTGATTAACCACAACTCTTGCCCTTAGTGCATTTCCACCATGTTGACATTTATAGCATACTAAGAAGTGCAAGATATACAACACAGAGCTGCTACAAGGTCCAGATGCCCGGTCACCATGGCCCCTAGAAATTGCATTGTGGCGCCTAGTATTTCTGACAGAGGCAAGCCCTTCCTCACATAGCTGGGTAGCTGTCATTTTCCCTTGTTGTAATAAAGGGGATTCTGCTTGCTTTAGGAAGATTCCCCCCCCCCCCCCAGTTGCTAGGGGCAGGGTGTAAATATTCAAGCATTAACGTGTCATTCCCACTACATTAGTGCACCTTAAGGGAAGCTGGAGCCCTGAAGACATACATATCATACCTATGAATGGTTTCATTGAGACCATAGTGATCATATTTATGAACTCCTAGATCCTACTTGATATACATAATTGCAGTTCTGCACATCTTCAAAAATGGGCTTTATATCTGAGTTACCTTTTTCTGAGCCGGCCTTGGCTGGGAGGGCAGGGTATAAATTTGAGAAATAAATAAATACATTTCTTTTGGTGAAGGAAACTGGGGTTACCTGTATATTTATACACTACAACATTTATACGGTTAATAAAATTACAAAAAGACTATGAGATGAGATCAGGGTCAGTTTTGTAGTAGGAAATTAAAATACAAAACCCTGAAGACTGGAAAATGAGTCTGTCTGCTAAATTTCTGGGCTGTTTCACAGTCAAAGAAAATTTGTCATGGCCTGACTAAAAGGAGGGGGGGAAACAAATTCCTAATTAGGACAACCCTTACCCTAACTTTAAAATCAGTCAATAAACTTTGCTATATTTCTTCTGCTAGGAGTCCTGTTTTAACCACCTAAAATAGTTATGAATGGATTATATCAACCCACACGTTTGCTTAGATAATCTGTACATTGGGGGATGTAACACTAACTGGGGTTTACTTGTACTCCACCCTATGTAGAATCTGTTTAACCAAGAGGTGTTTGAAATAGCCAAGGCTTGCTTCTCACATGGCAGCTCATCACCTGATAACTGAAGACTAGGGGTGCCAACTCCTGGTTAGGAAATACCTGGAAATTTTGGGGGTGGAGCCTGGGGTTTGGGGGAGAGACATCTGTGTAGTCATTTTCTCCAGGTGAACAAACCTCCATCATCTGGAGATCTCCAGGCCCCACCTGGAGGTTGGCAACCCAACTTCAAACAATGGCTTCCATGTTGTGTGTGAGCGAGCCCTCTCAGTCTTCTGAAACGCATCACTTCAGACACATATGAACCTGCCCCGCCAACCACATGCACATTTGAGGTGCTGCTGGCCCATATAAAAATCCTTTTGAAGTCAAGCTGTACTCCTTGACACGTGAACCTGAATGACTTTAGTAAGTTCTACTCTTTCAACCAGCACAGTCATTTAAAGAAAAATTAAATCTGCTAGCGTAATAAAAGACACGTGAATAATTTCCAGTCATACAAATGTATCAAGGAAGCGGTGAGATGGTGCAACACCTCTTCACAGATAACTTATGAACTGAGCAAGAGCCCAGCAGCACCTTAAGGACTAACCACATTGGTGAGAAGGCATGAACTTCCGTGAGCCACTGGCTCACTTCGTCAGATAAGAAGTATCTGTGAACTCATCCTCTGCCACCAATTCGGTTAGCCTTTGAGGCACTGCGGGACTCTCGCTCTCTTCTCTCCATGGAAGGCACCGCATTTAGCTCTACGGAATGGAAACCCATCAGCCTTGGGGTACCAGGACAGCTACACTCCCGTTCTGGCTGTGTCTGAAGGAGTGAGTGGCCACACGTCTCCCAATATGAACTGGCTAGGGTTGCCAGCCTCCAGGTGGGGCCTGGAGCTCTCCCACTGGCAGAGATCAGCTCTCCAAGAGAAGATGCCTGCCTTGAAGGGTAGGCTCTGGGGCATTGTGCTATGCTGGGGCCCCTCCCCAAGCCCCACCGTCTCCTGGATCCATCCCCAAAGTCTCCAGGTATTTTCCCACCCAGACCCGGCAACTCTAGAACTGGCCCACCAAACACAGGTGTGGATGATGCACGCAGGACGCGAGCCAACTCCTTCTCTGACAGCCTCGCTCTCTTGTCTGTTTTCGTCCCGCTCTTCCTCGCTGTACCCTCACAACAATCCTGCGAGGTAGGCCAGGGAGAAGGAAGCGACTGGGCCAAGGCACCAGGCGGAGTTTTGCACGGCCGACCGCACAGAGACGCCCCCCCCCTCCCCAATTCCCCACCCCACCCCCTCAGGCTGTACCACTCCGGACTGCACAGTAACAGAGGCCCGACAATCTCCACTCGGAAAACGAGCACGTCAGGAAGGACGAGCCTACGGGGCCGCTCTCCTTAACGTGCCGCTTTCCTACAAAGGAAGTTGTTTTTCTCCTGCGCCCCGGAGAAGGGGGGAAGACCGCTTCCCCCCTTCTCCCCCCGCGTTCTGAGGTGGTGCGGCCCAAGGACACCCTCCGAGGCTGGGGGCCGGAGGGCTTCTCAGGGCTGCCCACCACGCCCGGGGGGGGTGTTATTTTTCCCCTTTTTCTTTTAAGGGCTCTCCTGTATGGCTCCGAAGCGGCCGCTTCACACGAGCAGGTTTATCCTCACCGACAAGGACGGGGGCCGGCAGAACTCCTGAAGAAAAGCCCCCCCCGCCGCCACTCGCGTTTCATTGCGCCTGCGCGAGATGCTCCTCGGACCCCCCCCTCGCCTTTTTCCTCCGGAGTGAACCACTGCACTGATGGGGGGGGGGGACGAAAGCAAGTCGTGGTCTGGTCTCCGCCTCCTCCTGGTGACCGTTCTCCTGTCAGGGAGCCCCGCCTCCTTCGCGCACGCGCAGTAGGCGCAGGGCCGACCGGCTGCCGGCAGGGGCGAAATGGCGGCGGCGGCCGTGAGGGGATGGCGGCGACCTTTGCGGGCGTTCCGCTGGGTAAGTGCGCGGCTCAGGGAGCACTTCGGCGGGCGGGGCGGGCGAGGTCGAGGGGGCGGTCAAGGCGCGCCCGGGGCGGCAGGCGCTGTCCAGTTTGGTGCAGTGGTGAAGTGTGCGGACTCTAATCTGGGAGAACCGGGTTTGATTCCTCACTTCTCCCCTTGCACCCGGCTGGATGACCTTGGGTCAGTCACAAGTTCTCTCAGAGCTCTCTCAGCCCCCACCGACCTCACAGGGTGTCTGATGCGGGGAGGGGAAAGGAAAGGAGTTTGTAAGCCCCTCTGAGACTCCCTTGGGTAGTGAAGGGGCATGAGGTGTAAATCCAGTCTCTTCTTCTTCTGCTACCGGTTCCCCACTTCATTCTCACAACGTCCCCGTGAGGAAGGTCAGGCTGAAACCGGTCGGCTAGCCCAAGGTCCCGTAACGAGCCTCGTGACTGAGTGGGAATTTGAACCCGCGTCCCTCCCCCTCCCCCTCCCCGCTCGACACTGCAGACGTTACCTGTCTCCTCTCCCCTTCAAGGGGCTCAGGAGAGGGCCTCGTTCTCTTGGCTTCATTTCATCCTCACAGCAGCCCTGTGGGTTGGCGAGGCCACTTCTGGCTGGCCTTGGTTTTGAGGCTGGTATGATTCTCCGTGGTGGTAAATCTGCTGCCCTCACCTCTTCTGTAGGTAGCTAATTGCATGATTGCACACTTCCTTTTTTTGGGGGGGGGGGGGGAACCAAGAATATTTCCCGTGGGTTGCCGTGTTGGTCAGAAGCAGCAGAACAAAGTTTGAGTCCAGTGGCACCTTTGAGACCAACAAAGTTTTCTTCAAAGTGTAATTTTGTGTGTGTACGCTTTCTGAGGTGTGTTTTGCACAGGAAAGCTTCCACTTTGAATGAAACTTTGTTGGTCTCGGAGGGGCCCCTGGACTCAGGCTGTGTTCTAAGACCATTTCCTGTATGGAAAGCTAAGTGTTAGGAAGATAGATCCAGGTGGTCAGCCGTGTTGGTCTGAAACAGTAGAACAAATGTAGAGTCCAGTGGCACCTTTGAGACCAACAAAGTTTTTTTATTCATTCATTAGAGCAAAGCCTTTCTTGTGTCATGCTATTTTTCTGTATGGAGGATCCCCCCCCCCCCCCCCCCCCCGGCCGGCCACCATCCTAAGCAGATCTGCTCAGACTCCAACTGAAGTATACTCAGGGAAGTATACTTACTCCCAGGAAAGTGTTCTTAGGATCACACTGTTAATCATGTAACCCTCTTCTCTGCAGTGGCATGCACAGGTTTATACCCCTGTCGAGAATTGGGTTTGTATTTCTCTCCATATGTGGGATGTCAGGTTCTTGGGCCAAGAAAATACCCTTCTCCTGCACCAGAGATCTGAATTCAGTTTGCCTTGAGACATGCAAATGTTCAGTTAGTGGAATTTATTTAGAGACACGTGACTATTGTACCGCTCAAAGCAGCTCTCACACAGTTGCTGTTGCTGCCATTTCTGATAACCAACTCAGAAGTTCAAATATTTATGAAGGAACTAATAGCAATATGCGCGTGTTGTGAAACTTAATCCTGACAAGGCAGAGGTTCTCTGGGTCTGCAAAAAGGCAGACCAGGGATTTGGGATTGCTTCTGTCTTGGATAGGGTTGTACTCCTCTTGAAAAGCCAGGTTCACAGCTTGAGGGTGTTACTTGACACAGCAGTCTCCTTTGAAAGCCATGCAACTGGAGTGTTTTTGCCCAGCTTTGGCTGGTGCATCAGTTGCATCCGTTCATGGGTCAGTCAGTAAGATCTAGCCACAGTGAGCCATGCATTAGTTACATCCAGACTGGACTACTGCAGTGGGCTCCAGTTGGGGTAACCCTTGAAGAGTCCTTAGAAGTTGCAGCTAAGTACAAAACGCTATGCCTAGACTGCTGGTCGGTGTTGGCTGATGCCTCCATGGGTACATTCTGTCCCCCCCCCCCCCGCTCTCCCCCCCCCGTGCTTC